GCGCCCACCCTCCGCCGCAGCCCCCGAGCCCCCTGACCCCGGCCGGCGTCCCCTAACCCCCCGCGGGGGTGGGTGACAGGACGGCGTCGGTGCGGGTGGGGGTGTCGCGGCTTTGCCGCCTCCTCCCGGGGGCCGGCGTGGTGCCCCGTTTCCCCCTTCTCCGCTCCCGACGGGGACGCCCCCCCTCCCCCGGGGCCGGACTTGACCTTATGGTCTCTGGGGGACGTGGGGTGGGGGGAGGTAAAGCTGGGCCTTTGCCCCGGGCTGTGACCTGGCCCTGCGCCTAGTTTTCAAAGCGAGGCCCCTTCCCACCCAGAAGTAGATGGGGAGGAGGAAGAGATGGTGATTGCGGTGTCCGAACTGCTCCAACAGGTTCTCACGTGTTTGGGCCTGGGCAGGACCCGGTTGCCCTCCTGGATACCGCCTCAGACCCACCAGGAGCAGGGCAGGGGGCACGGGGAGGTGGGGGGGGGAGTGTGTGGTGGCGGCTGGTCCCTGATCCCCCAGAGAGGAGAACCTCCCGCTCATTTTAAGGGTGGATGTTGGGGAACCAGGCAGCCGGATGTGACAGGACCTGTTCAGGTTGGTCAGCGCCCGGCCAGGGTCCCAGCCCAGTGCCTGTGACAGGGACCCCAGTGAGGAGGGGGCGGGACTCTACGGGGCAGGGACACCACTGAAATCCCCTGGGCCTCCGGGGCTGCCTTCCTGTGGATGCCCAGGGCAGCAGAGCCCCTGCCCTGGGGTGCAAACACTGGACTCCCCAGAACGGTGTGCGTGCAAGTTGCTGCTATGCACACCCACCAACTGGCATCCTCTGCAAGTTCATGGCCGGACCAAGGGTGAGAGCTGCCATCTGATCCTTCAGGGCTCCTCAGTTCCAGACATGCTGAGAAGCTGACCCTGAGCGCCCTGGATGTGGAGGGCACTCTCTCTCCTCCCCCGCCCCACCCAGGGCCTGCTGAGCTCCCTGGGTGCCCAGGCTTGGGGAAGGCCTGGAAGGACCTTTGGCTGCCCAGGGGCCAAAGGTCGGGAAGGAGGAAGGCAGGCCAGTTCTGAGCTAGGCTCTGAGATGGGGGGGAACCCTAGGAGTGAGGGGCAGGCAGGGGAGAAGCTGAGGGCTGGCATGCCTGGTGGGTGGCATTTGCTGGACTGGCCAGGGCAGAGTTGGGGAGAGGGATGCATCCTGACACCTTAAAGGGGACATTTGGGGACATCTTCTCTCCTCATCGCCCATTTGTATCTGGAGGTCCTTGATTTGACCCAACATGAGTACAGGTCCTTCCCTCAGTCCAGACTCCTCTCCACCCACACAGGGTGGCCCTGGCATCTGAAAGGGGCTCTGCTTTCCCTGCTGTGGGCACACTTTCGGTGCATGTGATTGAGGGCCCCTTGCAGGAGTAAGCCCTGAGCTGTAGCGTTCCCAGGTGGCTCGGGGCAGGAGCCCGGATGGTTAATGTTAGGGTTGGGATGGGCCTCACAGCCCTGGGCACCCTTTCTCCCTGCCCCTGCACCGACCCCCTTGGCTTTAACGGGAAGGTGTGTGACATGGGCCCTGTGCTTCCCCACCCCCAGGTGCTTTGGGGCTGACCCAAGACTTTTCAGATCCAACGTCCCCTGTATCCTTGTTTACTTTGTATTCAACAGCTCATTTTTTAAAAGTTTGAATACTTTATAACTTTTTATTTTAGAGAATTTTAGGCTTAAAGAGTTACAAAACTGGTTCAGTGTCTGTTCACCAGTCACACTGACTCCTCTGGAGTCAGCATCTCACCAGACCATGCTGCAAGAATGGAAACTGAGGCAGAAACACAGGGGCGGTGCTGTGAGCCATGGCACAGACCTCAGCAGGTTTTTCCCTGTACTGTCCCTTTTCTGCTCCAGGACCCCGCAGTGTATTTCACTCTCCTGTTTCTTTCAGAAGGAAACCTCGTATCATTCCCTGAAATAGCGCATTAGTGTAACTTGTCGTAGACGGTGCATGTAAAAATAAACATAACCGTTAAACTAACAGGCTCCAACTTGTCCCACCTGTGATCCGTCACGTCCCTCCTGAGCACCTAATTTTGGCAAGACTGGGAAGGGTCTCTGAGGTTGCACACGCTCACAGTGGCTCAGGATTTGCTGGGAGGACTCCAGCGGGGTTGGTGGGTGAAGATGTGGTTGGGACGGCTGCATTTTAGGGGCAGAACCCTCTCCCGGTGTGTTTGCTCCCCAGCAGCCCTCTCTGCGGTGCTGGGCTGGAAGCACAGGCAGCCGGGAAAGTGGGAGCCCGTGTTGCACCCCATCTCCGGGGCTGGGGCACCTCGGCAGCCCAGCTGGCCTTCACCGCTGGCACCTAAGGTGGTTTTGCCTAGGGAGGGACGGAGCGTGTGGCCATCCACCTTCCGAACTGTCTTGTCTGTGTGTCCGGTAGGGAGGGTGGCAACCCATGGGCACCGGGGGCCTTCCTCCTCAATTCAGGTGCCGCAGAGCCAGTGTCCTCCACCCCTGCCCACAGGGAGGCGCGTGGCTGCCTGGGCCCGTCGCAGTAGGAGCCACCCAGCGTCTCACCTTGTCACCACCCTGGTGTGAGGAGTCTCTGTCTCTGGGCAGTAGGGAAGATTCTAGTAAGGTATCAGGCATTCTAGAGCTTCCTGGTGCCCTTTCAGTTGCCTGTTCTGTCGACTCCAAGGGGCTTTGGAGACGTAATTGGTAAAATTGATTTTAAGGAGCTCGAAAGCTGGAGGCGCAGTGCGAGTGCTTTGGTGACGGAAGTTTCACTGACTTCTTGGTAAATGTTTCTGGGCGTGCGTTCCTCATGGGGTGCCGTGCTGGCCACAGAGGCTCCTGGGGTCACAAGGCAGATCCGTCTCCTCTTGCGGGGTTTCCTCGACCAAGGTCAGACCTGTAGATGAGGAGATCCGTGCCACCCTGGGGGACCCTGTCCAGTCCCGAGGCAGCACTGTGGGGGCAAGAGCGGGCGAGGAGTCCGCATCAGGGACAGCCAGGGGGGTCTGTCTGTCCTGGAGGGGGAGCGGAGGAGTGGAGGGGAATGTGATGGGCTCCTCTGACTGTCAGGGAGAGGCAGGGGACAAGGGCAGGGCCCAGAGCCACTTCCAGGTGAGGGGTGGTGGGCAGGTGGGGGTGGGGCTGCTGTGGGTTCTGGAGTGGATCTCCTCGGATTCCTGCTTGTCCGTCTGTCTGACTGGGTTCCTCCTCGCAGGGTCCCTGTCTCTGTGCTCACCTCCCCGGGGCTGGTTGGCTCTTGTGAGCTCTTGCCATGCCCCCCTCCCACCCAGCCGTAAGCTTTTGGGGGCAGAGCCACACCTGGGGGTCCACGGCCTCCACAGGTGCCTGGTGACACTGAGCACGGCCAGCGGAACATGTGCACGTGGAGGGAAAGGAGGGCCCACCGGGCATCAAGCTTCAGTGTCGCAGCCTCTACAATTAAGTCCTTGATCTGGGGATTCCCAAGTACAGGGGAAGGGGCCACGCACGTGGAGATGGAGTCGCGGTGTGTTTGACACGGGTGGGGAGACGATTAATCATCTTGGAACAAGGAATTCCCACTGTGTGAGTTCAAGAACCCCAAGCAGGTGGGGGCAGTATGCTGCCAGCGTCTAGAGGGCAGAGCGGAGGCCCCGTCCCTCAGGCCTAAGGGGGTGACACGGAGTCGGGCTCACTGTAATGGCCAGGGTGCGTGCGTTGCTAGAAGCCGTAGGCTGGAGGAGGGCGTGCCGTGAGCCTCTGGACCGCAGCCGCGTTCATCGGGGTCGCTGGGATTCAGGCCCGGCCGCAGGTGGCCTGAGATCGGGCCAGGGTTTCGGGGGCTTGGTGTGGACCCAGCCCTCTCCCCCGAGACACCCTCTCTCCTGGGCCATCCCCTCGCCTCTGTGCACATAGCACCTGGCCATGTGGCAGGACTTTATTCCAAAAGAACGAGGGGACTGAGGGCGAGAGTTGGCCAGGAAATAACGTCCCTCGATGGAGTGTGCTGGGAGAGTGGAGCTCCTGAAATTCCCGGTGTGGGGGAAGCCAGCCCCTCGGTTGGCTTCTGAACGGCTGCCGTGGCCACGGGGCTGACCCTCGCGCCGGCCTCTATGGCGTCAGGGTTAGATCTCTGGTGGTTCCCACAGTGACCTGGCTGGTCGCTGGGCCGGCCACCTCGCCCTCTCCCTTCAAGCAGGGAGGGGACTCTGGGCTCCTCACACGCGGCAGGTGGACACGTTCGGCCTCAGTCACTCTGGCTCAAGGGCCTGAACAAACTCCAGGCACCGGCGACCCCGTGCCTGTCGGCGGCTCCGCAGACACAGCAAGGGTGGAAACGCCTTTGCCAGCGGGAAGCCGCTTGTGGTGTCAGGTGGGGACGCTGGGCTCTGTGCTGCGCCCTCTGCATCTGGGCGTCTGCCCCACCGGGCCCGCTCGGAGCCGCGTCTCCATCTCGGCCGCTCTGCCCCTTGCTCTGTCTTCTTTCCTGCCTGTCTTGGTCCTCAGCTTTTTGGTTTGGTGGTGGGTGACCCTAACCCCGCATTCTGGAACGGGGCTTGGCTCTGAGTCTGTTCACTTTCCCGCAAAGTGCTGGGTCATCTGCAGGAGAACAGAGTTCCGGCCAGTGATTGGCTTTGACCTCAGAGCGTAAGGACTGAAGGTCCTTGTGGTGTTTGTCCCGGCGAATGGAGAAACCAGACTTTTATCTTTTCTTAAAAGTTGGGAGTGAAATTTATATATGGTGGCAATAACTATTTTATTTTATTTTATTATTTTATTTTATTTTAATTTAATTTAATTTTATTTTTAAATGTTTATTTTGAGAAAGAGAGAGAGAGTAGGTGTGCATATGTTCACGGGAGAAGGACAGAGAGAGACTGAAAGAGAGAGAGACAGAGAGAATCCCAAACAGGTTCTGGGCTGTTAGCACAAAGCCTGACATGGGGCTCGAACTCATGAATCGTGAGATCATGACCTGAGCCAAAATCAAGAGTCATACTCTTAACTGATTGAGCCACTGGGCACCACAATAATTATTTTAAAGTGCACAGTTTGTGGCATTTAGTGCATTCAGAATAGTGTGCAATAGTCACTTCTGTGGTTCCCACACATTTTCATCACATGAAAGGAGACTCTGAACCCATCAAACGACAGCCCCCAGCCCCATACACCACCCCCCCCCCCCCCCCCCCCCGGCCCCAGTCCTGGACAGCCATGTGTTTTCTGTGTCCTGATGGATGTAACTGTTCTGGACGTTTCTGATAAATGGGATCGTACGATATGTAACTTTTGTGTGTGGCTTCCTCCACTCAGCACAATGTCTTTAGGTCCATCCAGGCTGCGGCAGGTATCGGAACATGGTTTTTTTATGGCCGAATACTGCTCCATCGTCGGGTGGACATACCACGTCTGTTTGTGCATTCACCTGCCTGCACATTTGGGGTTTTCCCGCCTGTTTGTCAGTCGTGCCGCTGTGAACGCTCGAGGACAAATACCTGTTGGAAGACCTGTTTTCATTTCTTTCGGGAGTTGCCGTGTCCTGTGGTTATTCTGTGTTTAACTTTCTTACTAACCACAAGCTGTTTTCCACAGCGGCTGCACCATTTTACGTTCCCAGCGCCAATGTGGGAGCCGTCTGATAGCGCTTCATCTTCGCCAACACCTGTTATTTTCCACTTTTCAAATCGTGGGTGTCCCAAGGGGTGTGAAGTAGGATCTCATCATTGCTTTGATATACATTTTCCTGAAGGCTGATGGCGTTGAAAGTGGTTAAGCCATCTTTGGAGCAATGTCTGTTGAAACACTTTGCCCATATTTAAATTGGGGTATTTGTCCCTTTATCGTTGAATTGTGAGAGTGCTTTATATATTTT